GGGGGGGGTCCACTATTCGGGCCGCCACATTACGGGGGTTCCGAGAGTTTCGGAGCTAATCCTCCTTTAGTGGGGGACTCATGTTCATTCGGATACAGGGTGAAGTGAAGCGATTCCAGCATCGGCACTCAGACGCAAAGCCGCAGAGACCAAATCGGGAGGGGAAAGGTTTGCTCCAACCCATTTATCACCTGGGGAGCCTCTGGGACCACCATTTCAAGCGAATGCTGGACAACGAACAGCTATCGAATGTAAGTAACAGCGGCGCATGCAACATGCTTCCAAGCCATGTCAGTAGCAGAGCGACCACAACGACAAGAACAAAAACATGGACAATGCTATGCAAAGCTGATGGCCGATACGGTGTCAATGGTGCTAAAGGTTCTACATCAGGACTTGCTTGTTCAGGAATCTTCCTGGTTGTGGTTGCTGCGTAGCATCTCGGGCAATGCCCCTTGCCCTCGCAGCATGAAGTTATAGCGCAACACGAACGTAGCAATAGAGATGGCCACCCCAAGTCTAGAGGATGAAAGGTCTGAAGGAGGTGAAAGTGTGGCATTAACTGGCTCAGCGGCGAGGAGGGAGAATCGAGCCAAGGTAGTAGAAGAGCTGGCCGTGACAGAATGCAGGAATCGAAGAAGCCCAAAGTCGGAGCTAGTGAAAGGCACCAAGCTACAGGCAGGATTGACTCTGCGAGCGTTTTGGTTAGTTGGTCGTTCCTGCGAGAACCTCGGGCCCGCTCTAATTTCACATACCCTACTTGGAGGATCATGGGACTTAGTAAATACGGTTATAAGTCCATTAATTGGGGTTATAAGTACCCTAATTATAACCCTACTTACTAAGTCCCATGATCCTTTAGGTACACCCTAAACCCTAAACCCCAAAACCGCACCTCTGGCCGGATGGGTACTGGCAGCTTCCCGAGCTTGCAGTTGGATGTCGGGCAAAAGCTGCTGAAGGTATGCCCCGGACCTTGGCTACCGGGGTGGAGGGTATCAGGTTTAGGGTTAGGGTTTAGGGTGTAGGGTTTAGGGTTTAGGGTTGAGGGTATCAGGCTCTACCAGGAGCGCTACAGGCTACATGGTGTGACCATGTTCAGTCTCTGTCAAATCCTACTCGGTTACAGACAGCCTTGCATAGGGTCAACATACACACATGCCGACCGAGCTACGGTAGAAAGCTAGAACCGGACATCTACAACAGCAACACACCAACGAATTGAATCTGCATGCCTCTAGGCCTCCAGATACAAGCTATGTCTACACTGAAACATTGACCTTTGCTCCTTAATATAATTATGGTATAATGGGCCCCCCAAACCCCATTCTAATTAAGGCCCCTGTATTAGCATCGGGCTCTTTGCTACTGGTGGCACTGGGGTAGTTAGAGAGCACGCGCTCCTTACTCGAAATCTTCCCGTGAACCTAACGAACCAGCATCGGATCCCGAGCACGATTGAAATCCGCACTCCCAGCCACCCTGCCAATCGTACAGCCCAACAGTGAACACTCTGTCAAGGCCAAGCAGCCCCCGTTGCCAGCAACCGGTGCAGTGGATGGCATGGTTCTTGCTCTGAGTGACAGTGCACTTGACAATGATAGTAGATTCGATCGGCATGCCTTCGTCATGAGATGTTCCAGAAGCTGACTATTCTGCGCCTGCTTCCAGGCAAAGAGGCTTGCTTTGGGAAGCCTCTCGTCCTTGAGGAGAAGATCGCAAGATGCAAGCTGGTAGCCATCCGATTTAAGAACACCAGCAAGAGTAGCACAACAGGGCCTGGTCTCATGAGAGTCTCAAGAATACTCTCGCCACCGGGTGCATAAACGTCAACATCCTAGTCATAGACCTCAGTTGAACCATGAACACAGTTGTACCTACTTCGAGCCATTCGGAGCTTCATACTTCAGGCCACGAAGCAGATGCTACTGCATCCGATCCGATCCAGCTGCAAAAACGTCACATTTCTAACATGATTATCACTGTGACTTCTGAAACAGAAGCCAAAAGTTCAATCAACCCTAAACCCTAAACCCAAAAACCTAAACCCTCAAGACTTATTCCAAGCTGGACCTCGGACCGTCGCTCCTTTCAAACCTACTTCCGCGAATGAGAACCCAAGGATCCGAGCACGACAGCAAAAGAAAGCAAAGCAACAGGAGGTCGGCGTACCTATCGTCTCCATTGTAGTTCCTTTTTGGGGGATACCTTATATAGAGACCTGAATATATATGTGGTTAAACCACAAAAAGGAACTGCAATGGAGACTATAGGTACGAGTAGAAACAAGAAATGGCCGACAGAGCGCGCAATTGCTTGGATTTTCGACACATCAGGTCGAAGCTGGGTCACCGACTGGGCCTGCCTGTCAGAAGTGGAAGTTGCAAAGATAACTTCTAGGGCAAAGCTTTATATGCCAGGGGAGGCCCAAGTATAGAGCTATATCCTCGAAGAGGTAAGCCAACTGACAGAGCCCGCCGTGCATCGCCTCATAGCGTCAGACTCAACGTGTTTAGGAGGGATGGGACGATGAACAGGCTACGCTGACCACCGCCATCCGTCCGAGATCACGAATTTAGAATTCAATGGAAATGTCATGCATCAGAAAACGACTCAGGTCGGAAATGGAGCCCTAGCAGCTCGCCAAAGACCACCAAACTGCAGCGGGACGGGTTTGCCGTGTCGCTTTGCAGCTGAGATTCATTTCTTAAGAGCTGGCCTCCTTCGAGGTCAACCCTGTCAAGAGTCACCGTATCTGGGGCACGGGGGTACCGACAACCTGAGGGGCCCAAAGCCAAGATTGAGCTGTCTTTCACCAACAGCCGGGTGCTGCTTGCCAGTTAGAATTTCGATCAGGACCGACTGCATGCTGACTAGTGACTAGTGTCGAATACCCGCAAAGCGACGTCTTTTTGCATACTGTGCATACTGTGCACTAGACAACGGATGCATGCATGCACACATGTATGTTTATGTGGCTACAAAAAACTCTTAACTGCAGTTAGCCGAATAAGTGTCTGCACGAAAGCAAACGCAACGCTCTTGCAGTACCCTCATATTCTGTTGACAAGAACATAATATTTAAGCAGCGCAAACACGATCATACACCTGTATTTGCATATGTAAGCATATACAATATATATATATATATATATATATATGTATAAATATATAGAGAGATAGAGAGAGACAGAGAGAGAGAGAGAGACAGAGAGCGGCATCTCATGTGCGCACGACCGATGCCTACTGCATATAAGGTACAGGCTGCACATCACACAATACATGTAGTCAGAAGGACAGACAGACAGAAAGACAGCCAGACAGACAGAACATAAGAGCAAACATGCGTGCATTCCGCGACACTGATTTTTCCATGCCGCTCAGTCGTACCTATTCGCCGTGGTACATACGTTCTGCATGAAGAAGCGGACGCAGACACGTGGGCTCTTGTCTTTACAAGTTGTAACCGTTTAGTAACCATCAACGCCTCGACTCTGACAAGGTTACTGTAAGCCTTCCGCCGTGAAGAGCTAGCCACTACTTTGGGATCTCCAGCTCGAACAGAGAATGGCCTAATTGCTTATGCTTGCAAGGACCCGCAAGACAATCATGTGAGCAAGCGGTATACGGCATCGGTATAGAAGACCATCAGTATATCCATGCCGAAGTTGAAGACTATGTCAAGCAATGCTTGTCCACTGCACCCGATTGCCATGATGACAGCTTGTTAGCCTCCGAAGAACACAATCCGTGCTCCAAGGCAGCCGTCTTTTTTGAGGGCCTCTAGGGACTCTAGGGCAGGTTGCCGTCAATCTCCCCTGCGAGAAGCTGAAACGTGGTTCAGATTCGCCTGCCTGTCACAGGCGATGTGCAAAGTGGGTCGTCTGGGGGTCTTACTGGAAACTCAAACATGACTCTCCCAAAGGGTCTAAGTACCCATGTAGTAGGTATTTTGGGCCCCAAAGTATCTACCATATTAGTACTTAGACGCTTTGGGTCTTGTCACCAACACATTGTTGACCCGATTTGCCGGCACCAACACATTGTTGACCCGATTTGCCGGCGAGGAACATGGGACATGACCAAAATATGGGGGGTCGATGCGGGCCAGCCAGGTGGGGGCGGTAACCTCCAAGGTGGGGATGTGCGCCAGCCACGACTGGATGTGGCGACACCGACTTGTTTCAGAATGTTCCAAAATGAATCTGAATTAGCTCCCTGTACATCCGGTCACCGAGCTCACCGACGTACTCCAGAAACATGGCCACATGCATATGATCGTCAAACAACCGCACGGAAATCCACACATGGTGTTGAATGCTCGTACTTTGCGGTCAGCTGCGGTTTGATCCAGTATCGGAGCTCTCAAAAAGAAAAGGTTCGTACATCAGAACCTGGAAAATGTGCCAAGCCCTGGCCCGAACTGGCACAACACAGAAAGCTATTTCTCTCGAAGTTGAAGACAACAAGCATGTGCGCACCAAACCTATCTCTAGGCTACAGGCATGCACAGGACAGTACAGCCCAGCTTGTGTATCAATCGGCTACCGTCGAGAGGACATGTTGAGCGTACCAACATCGGGGCTTGCACAGCATATCCTTGGCAACCCAGCTGGGGTCAAAACGAGCCTCGGTTGAAACAGACACACATTTTTATGTGTGGGCTGTTTCTACTCATCTGCCCGGCTCTGTGTGGACGATCTTGCCCCGCGGTGCCGAGACATCTTTGGCAAGAGTGAGGCGCATCTCGACTGAAAGCTGTCCCCGAGGAAGTCACGACGACGTCTGCGAAGCACGGCAAACCTGAAGCCGCGCTGGTCCCCCTGCATCTCCTGCTTTGACGACAACACGCGGCAGCAGAGTATGCTGTGCATTGCTGTGCCGGAGCTGGAGTCTCCAGCCCGCGGATAAAAAAAGCGGTCTTCTGAACAGTAACAGAGAATACAGAGCTGCAGAACTACGATGCATTGGTTGTGTTTATGCATATATATATATATATATATTATATCTTGTAACACTCAGCTGTCTCTGCGTGTGTGCATGCGTAAAACTATGATGATTACAAACAGGTAAAACACCAGTTTTATTGGCTAACCAAATAAACCGATGCCGAACATCAGGAAACAACATGGAACTAAATAGGAAGCCAACCAAGCCAACATGCCAAACAATAGATAAGCGTGCGCACACAGAGAAAAAAAAAACAACATCTCTCTCTCTCTATATATATATATATGTATATATATATATATACATACCAATTATATCTAAATTATATCCAGTTATTATATAGACATATTGTGTATATATATATATATACACACATACATGCACGCAAAAGTCTACATAGAGGTGGGGACGCACACGGCAATACACATGTGCAGAGGCCTTTCGTGCGCATGCACATATACGACTTCGAATGTCGTGGTTGCAACTCAAGCTCTAGCACCTGCTACCGAGACTGTAGTGACATGGTCTGCCCGACACAGCACGTCTGGTGAGGCAGGCGAGTACTTTTCAGGGCAGGGGGGAAACAGTCGCAACTTATGTTGAGGCCCACCTGAGATTTACCGAGCGGATCCATCGCAAACGACGAAGCTGCGTAAGGCAGTGAAGCTTACAGTGAATTGCTTCAAGCTACAGAGCCTTTCGCCGAACAAGCTCCGAAGTCCATCCGTCGTCCTGCAAGTACTGGTCCAGGTACTGCACATAAAGCTGGTGAGTTCTCCCGTTCGGCGCGCGTGGCACGTTTTCAGGGAGGTCGGCACCTGAGATGCGCGAAAGACGCCGGAATGGGTCCCTGGAAACGAATTCCTGGAGGTCGTTGGTCTGTAGGTGTTACAGGCTTCGTCTCCGGCAGCAGCGACTATTCCCAAACACCCGACCCCAGTGTGATATGCACACAGCAGCGAGACACAAGTATAGTATTAAGTATAGGTCCGTCGAGCCACGAAGCCTGTACATTTTAGCAAACACTGCTGTCAGTCTCATACGATAGAGTGCCATGGAAACGTTGCAATTGCTCAAACTTGGGCATGGCAATGGAAACAATGGTGGTATCACGCTACTAAAGACGGTATAGCCACTCCTACCACTGCTACTACGACAACAACTCCACCTACTCTGCTGCTCCACCGCCTCCTTTTCTCCTGCTACTACTATTGCGAATATTGGTAATGCGACTACTGCTACGACTACCACTACCACTACCACCACCACTACCTCTGCCACTACCACTGCCACGACGAGTGCCACTACGACTGTGACTACGACTACGACTTACTACTACTACCGCCACCACCACTGCCACCACTACTTCTACTACCCACAACATGCACCGAAACCCACACGGCGACGACGACGACTGCTACCACTAACCCGATCCCCCCAGGTGCGACCCAAATCACCCAAATCACCGTCGTCATCATCCGCATCGAGATGACCTTCATGATGACATTCATCGTCATCATCTTCATCATCACCATCAGCATCAGCATCAGCATCATTCTGGCATTCCTCAGGCACAGCATCCTCATCATCATGAGATGTGGTTTTGTCAAAGAACGTTCTCATTCAGTGCCCACCCACGTACCCGGAAGAACCTAGGAACCCAATCCCAAGGAGCGAAGTCCGAAATGCACGCGAAACACAAAACAAAAACACTGTGAGAGATTATGGGACTGACATGGGAAGCTCCTGCTCGTGCTCCTCCTACTACTGCTACTACTTCAACTACTTCTGCTACTACTACTACTACTACTACTACTACTACTATACTACTATTACTACTACTACCACTACCACTACCACTACCACTACCACTACCACTACTACTACTACTACTACTACTACTACTACTACTACTACTACTCCTACGACTCCTCCTCGTGCTGCTGCTGCGACTACCACAGCTTGTGTTAAGTTTCCCGTATTATTGTTCCGGCTGCTGCTGCTGCTGCTACTACTACCACGACGACTCGACGGCTACAGCTAGTAGGATGACAAAAACGATGACGACGACGGCGACCGTCCCTGCGACTCTTGCGGCGGGTGCAACTATACGCATGCTTCCCCTACTACGACGTACGGTCGCTGCGCCGCACTGCGGCTGCTGCACAGGCGAGGCTGCTGCGCCTACGTTGGGTTCACAAGTCTGGTCCAGTGTTGCGCAGATCGCTCTGGGAACGCCAGGGTGCGGATGATGCGTGAGTCGAAAGAGGAGCAGAAGAAGTTCGAAGACTTCGACGACTTCGACGGTGGCGAGGGCTCCGGAGACGTGTCCAGAAAGTCCGCGTCAGGAGTTTCCTGGATGAAAAGCAATGTTGGGAAAGTGTGCAGCATCATGGTTGGTATTGGTCTTGTTAACTCTGTCCTCATCATGACAATAAGTGCCATCATAATCATAATCATCATCAGCCGGCAGCGACGCGGAAGTCCTTACTGACTCTACTATCTTGGACTAGGTAAAGCCCCTTTGTTCCAGTAGTGCAGAACAAGCTGGTGCAAGCAAGTGATATATTCTGATGTCCAGGAAAATCCTCCATCCCAGGCAGGCACCATCGTCTGCTCCATCAGCTTCAAAACTGTAAACTACATGTTTTATCATATATATATAGTGCAATCGTTGGAAACCGGGAACCCGGAGCCTTGCACCACTGCGCCCATCCGCCAGCTCTAAATCCCAAACCGACCAGCACATTCGGACGGGACAGCCCAAATTCTCATTGTCGAATAGGAAAATTCAAGACAAGCCCTCTCACTGCGAGCCGATGATGACTTCCACAAACCCAGCCGGAACAAGGCAGACCACTCTAGAGTTTGCATGCACATGCGAGCGTGTCTGAAGATTCGTATCGACACTAGAGAGATAGCAGCAGCTCTGACTGCAAGTCAACAATGACGGTGCCCAGGCAGAGAGCAGTAGCGAAAATTAACACACATACACGAATAGGTTCAATGCTGTCTAACAGGAAAGCAGACTGACGAGCCCGACTCTCGCTCCCAAGTTCTTCGCACTCATCCGAACCGGATATGAGCTCGTCTCCCTGAACACTCCATATATATATATATATACACACATAGTGTTGAACTCATAATTATGGGAGCCCCTTTTCAGCCGGCAAAGCTTAGACAACCAGCCCCAGCTCCCGCGATGAGCCCGCAGGTGGAGACTTTTGGGTTCACCTGTTGATGTGGACTCGTCGTCCTTCGTGAACTCGGACGGGCTAAAGGCTCTTGGCGATCTAAGTTGCAGGCTTCTTGCAACTGTCTGCTTGCTTTTTGTGATTGCCTGGACATAAGACGATGTACATGCTGCTGTCAGTGCTCCTACCAGTGAACCCCTGAACCCGACCCAAAACCTAGCTCTGCCCGCACAAAGTCCCCAAGCACCACCTAGGTGAGCGGCTCTCTAGAGGAAGAACCGACGAGAAAGACAGGTGTCAGGGAGCAAATATGCACCAGCCAGAACTAGAGAAGTTCAATGGATAGAGCGAGAGAGAGAGAGAGAGAGAGAGAGAGAGAGCGAGAGCGAGAGCGAGAGCGAGAAAGAGAGAGCGAGAGAGATGTTTGCACGTGTATGCCTACCTATATGAAGAGCAGGGTTGCTGATGCTGGTCACTTGACCGTTTCTTTGGAGCCGTGGCTACCGTTGCCTACTCGTACGACCTTTCACAATTGCTCTCGACAGTCGTATTGTCCCACTAGCCAAAGAGCACTATCGCACATACTCTGCCGACAGGAGTCCGAGCCCATGCACGTGGAAGGTGCACAGGTCGTGACAGAGGTCGTGATTATGCCAGGCGAGCCCGGCGTGTTGATCTTCTCCGTCTGCATCTGACACAAAGTCTGGCGATTTTCGTGAAGCTACTCACCGTGCCACAGGGCCTCAAACTCGCTTGTAGTCCAGGGCTGCGGGTCCACATCATCCTCATCCACCTGCCACTCTATATCTATGCTTTAAAGGGCTGTTCGGAACCTACACTGCTTTCAGAATTCCGGGTGTGTACGGTTCAAGACGGTTGAAGGTTCTGATTCGATCTTCCTTTTCCTTTCCTCTTCTCTTGCTGTGTCTTCTGCTGCGTCTGCTTCTGCCTTCTTCCTCTTGTTCTCCTCTGCCTGCTTGGCTGCTGCCAGCTGCTTTCTTCTTCTCTGCTTCTGCTGCGTTCCTTCTCTCGTTCTCCTCTGCTGCTTCCTCCGCTTCTTCCTAGCAAACTCCTTTGCTTTCTCCTCGTCTTCCTTCTTCTGCCCCTTTTCTTCTTCCTTTTTCCCTTGCGCTCCCAGTACTGCCTGTCCTTGTCGTCCTTGGCAGTAAAGTTGATCCTTCCTTTGTCGTTCTTTGGTCCGTCCTGGGGTCCTTCTTCTCCATTCTTTCCGTGTTTCCTTTTCCTTTCTCGTGCTTGTAGGAGTAGTCCCAGTCGTAGAACGTTTTCCCAACACGAATTCTGGGCTGCCGCCGCCATCTTGGGAACCGCCACTTGCATATCAGACAGGGTCGGGTCGTGTGTCAAGGCAGCACATACAGCTAAAGAACGAGACACACCCACACACACACACCTACATGTCGCGTGTGTATATGTAGGTCTGTATGACAGCCGAAACCGGAAAACACATGGAGTAGACATGCAAACATGAATGCACATGCTCCTCTGTGTGTACGTATATGTGACAAAAGATAGGCAGTAGAACATTAAAACCGATAAATACATGCATATATATATATATACATATGTGTGTGTGTGTCTGCATGTATATACCTATAGACATGCATACACAATCACCTATATGAATTTCTATAAATAGGCGATACAGGTGCATGCATGTATGCATGTCTGAATGTATGTATGTATGTATGTATGTATGTATGTATGTATGTAGGCATGTATGTATAGGCTCAGCCAACAAACCCTCACACATACACAAACATCCTGAGCAGCCATGGTGCCTCCCCCGGCTTCTGCGGAGTGGGCAAGCTCGCGAAGTTGCGAACGAGCCTCGCTTATCAAGAAGGGACCCCAATGCGAAGAACTACTCATATAGAACCCTTATCGTACCCTTATAGAAAACCTATACATCACTGTTGGGGTTGATCGTTGTATTTCTGCTCCTTCGAGTACTACTTGCCCAATGCTTCTTCCGGAAAGGATCAAACTCACCGACAGAGTGTGAGCGCGAGAAGGTGGGCCGGGCATTACCTTGATCCGAAAAGAATATCTGGCAGGTCACTAGCTTTCTTCGAGATATACGACAATAACAGAGCGTACGACTTTCGAGGCTAATGCGAGAGCAATTATGTGCCTTTTTCGACAGCTATCAGCTATCTGCGGTAGTCGCAGTGGTGGTGTAACAGCAGCTGCAGTGCAGTAGTAGTGGTGGTAGCGGTAGTGGTAGGGGTACTGGTGGTGGTGGTTGTAATCGTAGTAGCTGTCGGGGTTGCAGCTGTCGCGTTTGTAGCACTAACAGTAGCAGTAGCACCAGCACTAGCA